GAGAAGCTTTGGAAGAAGCAAATATCGAATTAAAAAAACTTATATTTGTTTGTTTTCAAGAAGGATTTAGAGAATTTCCTGATAGAAATACATGTTTATTTAAGACAGCAATATATTTTTCTGTTATTGATGAACAAGTTCCAGAACAAACCGAACTAACAAAAAATGATTCATGGATTCCTTATAATTTAAAAGATATAACAAATCTTAAAGTAATAGGTTCAATTAAAAAAAGTTATAATCAAATTGCAGATGCTATTAATACTAAGTTTAGAAGTATTAGAAACAAGAGATGTTGTAAGCTTGAGTCTGTTGAAGAAATTGAAAATGATATTGATACTAGTAGTGTTACTGAAGAACATGTTGAAAGCCCTAATAATAATGAAGTAGCTTATACTTGAAAAGAAGTTGAAAAAAGATTAGCAGTTGATGAAAGACATGGAAATTTTAGCAAAAAATAGAAATTTTTATTTTTATTTTATTTTATTATTTATTTTTTATTTAATAAATTTATTCTACTCAGTTATAAATAACCAAGTAGATTTTTAACATCATAAATAAAATGACAGAAAAAGAAAAAGAAATCTCAAAACAAATTGTAAATTCTTCTTGGGATATACAATTTGTTGATTCTTTTGAATAAATATTTATAATTTAATATATGTTTGAAATGAAAGAATGTAAAGGAGAAAAAATAAATATTATTGAATGGAAGAAAAAAAATTACAAATTTTTAACCAAAAAAGAACAAAGATATTTTAATAACTTTAAAAGTAAATAAATATTCTATTCTGTTATTATGACCGAATAGAATTTTATTTAAGTAATCCTTGATAATGAGCACTAAAAAAGAGGTAAGAAATTACTGAATATTTTGTTTAGTTTCTTTATCAAAATGTAAGTTTACGCTGCGAGCTTTTTTGCTAATAGCAAAACCGAATTGCTCGTGTAGATTTTGATAACAAAATTTCGTGAAAAAAGTAGCATTAGACTTTGGTCGTGAATAGTACTTAGTATTAGAAATATTGGTTGAAGCAATGACAACAATTTACTCATTATTTTTATTTTATTATTAGTTA